ATCTATCTATCTATCTATCTATCTATCTATCTATCTATCTATCTATCTATCTATCTATCTATCTATCTATCTATCTATCTATCTACACCCTTAAAGCCATTGGCTTGATGATGCTTTCTACTTGTTTTATTTCTGCAATGCGTTGTATGTTCTATAATAGAAGAGAATCTTTCATTTTTGTTCAGAGTGAGAAGCCCTGAAGGAGAATTTCAGCTAAAAGGTTAAACTGAGAAATGAACTGCTGAGTAAGTTGCACATACCAGTCAGACAGTGGTGGCTTTCACAGCTGAAGAAAAGCTGATTGTTTGCTGTTTAACTTAATTAGTTTTCACTCTCCTGGGACAGTTGTTAAAGTGGCTCTGATAAGATCACTGACTAAATGCATCAATTGTTTGGGAAGAAAAAAAATCTATGTGAGAGTAAAGTAGAAAAAAAAAAAAGAAAACAATAAGCATTCACTAGAAGCTCTTTCACTCCCCCCATGCCCCTGCATCCTCATTTTCTTTTCTCTACCAAACACATTTTTCTGTTTGTATAGATTTTTATAATTCCCTTATCAAAACTGTTGATTAGTTCACATTCATTTGATATATACATCATTGCTAGATGTCCAGAATAGAAAAAAATGACCATTTGCATCTAAACACTGTCCTTTGATTGGATGCATCATTTTCTAAAACCTCTCTGTCAAAGAAAACCTTTATTTGATGCAAACTATAGCCTTTAATCACAGTGGCACAGTGGTTAGAAACTGCACTTGCTATTCATTTTGTAAAAATTTTAGACGTTTTCTACAAGGTAGTGCATGGAAGGAAAAGCTGTGCATGACTTTTATATTTGAATAAGAAAAATTAAACCTTGCATTGATTCTATAGCCAGCCAAGCAGAAACTAATACTTTAGGAGATCCCCTTTTGCTTCAACTAAAGCTTCAAAGCGTTTCAGGTTTTACAACTCTAACAGTTCTAAAGTCTTCTTTACCGTATATTTGAGATCCAAACAGTTCAAAGCCTGAATTTGTCTAAAATATGCTGCAATAGACCGTGGATTTTGTGTTGTAGTTCTGTCGTCCCTCTTCCCCGTGTTTTTTTTTTTCTTTTTTACAGACTCAGCACATATTCTTTCAAGGCTGCCACGGAATTAGCTAATTTAATCTTTCAAACAATTATTTAAAAAGGCCCTATTCTTAATTAACAAAAGCATCCCACAGCATGGTACAGCCACCACCATATTTCATCCTTGGTATATTGCGGTCAGGTCTACCTGGTGGGTAAATTTTTCTCCATGTATTCTGTTTTTCACTCTGTTTATGGAAACGTACAAACATGACTTATTTTCAAATAATTTCTTTTTGACACTCCACAATATAAACAGTGAATCTCTGCTGCTTCTTTGAAACATTGGCCCCCAGGCTTTCTCAATATAATATATAATTGCCAGCCTGTATGATCCTGTCTTTGGTCTGCAGTCTTTTTCCATCTTTGGATGAAGGACTTCTGGTGTTAAATTAATACCATATAAAATTATTTTGTTAACCTTGTTATATACTATCCCATAACCTTTTCACATAATCCTGGATTCGACTCTGAAGCAGAAGAAAAATCATGGACAGAGCACTTTTCTTAAAAGGTTTATTGAACAAATAATGAAAAGGTAACAGGATTGCCAGATTGTCAGGAAACGAGTCTCTGAAGGGGAGAAAATGGATGTCACCTGATGAAGGAACTATTGGTTTGTAGTTTTCAGAGTGAATGATGGCTTACTGTTTCCAGGAGGATGGGGACTTTAAGAAGGGAATTGGAAAAAAATCGAAATCTAGATGAGCCAAAGTTATTAAGAGACATTGTGGAGGGTGTTTAGCCCTTGGGGCTGCAGACCCCTGGCCCTGGAATATAAAGCAATACCGCCCTCTGGTGGAAACAAATAACTAACACTATACTTCCACATGTTTGTTCTCCATGCAGCTTTGAAGGCTCAGGATAAATTCTTTTTCAACATTTCTAAATGTGCTATTTTAATTTAAATTGTACAATAAAATCCAATCATACCCATACATCGATTCAATAGCAGTCAAATCTTAGCCTTAATGTTATTAAACTAGTCTAACTCTATTTATATTTCTAAATGGTGACATTTGACATATTTAAGTTATCCCAACCAATGAAACTGAGGAAAAGGGACTTTGTAAATAGTTGAAGTAGATCAACTCTGATTGAAGTTTGTAATGGGTAGGAATATACAGTCTTACAAATTCCCTTGTGATTTTTGAACATGGAAGAAGAGAATGCAAGAATTGACTTGTTGATTCAGCAGAAGTTTTTGTTTATCTTTACCTTGAACTGTGCAACTGAGAAAGCAGAATTTAACATTGAAAACAAAAGCATCCGCTTTAACTGGAAAGAACAAGGCTTAGAAGATAGCTAAACAGAGGATCACTGGGAGAGTAGATTTAAAGGAATAAAATGCAAAGAGTATACATGCATGGCTTGCTACAGAAATATAAATCTGTCCAGAAAAGATGCAAAGTCAAAAGTCTAGCAACAGGTCAATAGTGTCTTCTAAGAAAAAAAACTAAGAGATCATGATCTTATTTGCAGCAATTGATGATTTTGAGTAGAGAAAATGTTTAAATGTGAATCATTGTTCATAGACCCATATGCAATGTCCATAATAAAAAAGTTTGGGTTAGTATGCTGGTGAAGAATTTCAGTCATCCAGGTCATAGTCATCCAAAAAAAGTTAAAAAACAAACAACTAGTCTTTTTTTTTCCCCCCAAGTTTTAAGACGTTTCGCTTCCCATCCAGGAAGCTTTTCCAATTAAAAATTTGCCGGCCTAGTTAAAAGAGAGATGGATTTAAACTGAGATTTCCTCTCAGACATGCACATGGTGAATGGAGTCAAACACCAGTGGTGCTCATTTGTTTTTCACAGATCCAATAGAACTTTTCCCTACAGGTGCCCGTAGACCAAGAGCTCATGCATGGAAGACTCTGATCAATGTAAACACAACTTTGGGAGAGACCAGTCCAAAATTTTGGTTTCGGGGTGTTTGATGCACTAGAAACAGAAAAGACAAAAACAAGCTGTATACATCAGTCTCACACACTCAGTGCTATTAAAAACCAGTCAGACAGAATGATGTTCAGGCTGGCTGAGCTCACCTATATTTCAGCAGTCTTCCATTTACATCCTTCATGTTCCAACATGAGGTATAACTGTCTGTTTCAACATAGAGGCCGATCCAGATTTTTACCATTCCTCCAATGAAAGGTCTCTGCAGGAGAAAATCATTGGTGAGACACTTCGCTTCAATGGTTACGTCAAGCAAAACTATCGGATGGGGGGAAAAATGACAATAAAAATAACTTAAACCCTTTTAACCCATTTAGAAACTGACAAAAATACCTGTTCTGTTTCATCATTCAAAATCATAAGTTGAGCTCCTTTTGTCTCACAGTTTTGTTTGGCATATATCCAGGTGTTTGGCTCTGTAGAAAGCTGGTAGCAACTCGACATAAACCTCAGCCATCCCGGGGGACAACTTTGGCTTGTTACCTCTAAGAAATAAAAAATGACAAAAATTAGGGAACATCAATAATAAGGTGCTGGGCCTTAAAGCATGAACATTTTTTGTAGTTTAGAGATAAATATACCATATTTTCACGACCATAAGGCGCACCGTACTAAAAGGCGCAGTCTCAGTTATGTGTGCCTTTACTGTATTTAGCACACACATAAGGCGCACCGGACTGTAGGGCACGCCGCACATTTTGAGCGAAAAAAAAAGACGTTTATATGTGCCTTATAGTCGTTAAAATACGGTACGCAACAAAGAAGGTTTTGAATGTCATTGTAATTTTCTTTTTTGTTTCAAAAAACCTCTTTCCTAGTGAAATTAGCGGTTTAACTCCCTTCCCACTGACAAAATAAGCTGAGTCTGATCCTTCACCTGCAAGCTGGCTGGCCTCTGTCCCCCCGCTGCTACGTGTCTGGTAACACCATCATGCTGGGTTAGGGTGATGTCACAACCGCGACAGAATCAGGAAAGTAAACAATGGAGAGCAATGCATAAGGAAGCCAAGGGATAGTAAGCCTGCTTTACTGTTACACACTTTTATCTGTCTAAATCCCTTGTACCAGTGTTTACCATGTTTATCGGATGTAAACAGTTTTGTTTCGGCCTGTAAGATATTATGCCACTGACGCTGTGCTTTGACATCCATGCATTGCGCTAAATGTTATCATGTTAATTTTGCTGATTAATTTTGACCCGGATCTGATGTTGGTGAGGAGAGCTTGTATTTGCTCAAGGATGCTCTTTAATTAAGATCTTAAGTAATGCCTTAACACTTTAGTTAGAAATGTCCAAGTTTCTTTACTGTTTTGAAATAGTTTCAAACTGCAGGCTTGCAGTGATAGGTCATCATTAAGTATTGGAGCAGGACGTCTCCATAGAGAGGACAGACCTAAAAGTTCATGGAAGGGACATAGTGACATAATTCTGGTGCGAAATAGTATGACTGTTAATTTTTTAAAATATGAATCTAATAGAAAATGTAGCTAACCTTAAAGCAATGATCCAAGAGTGGAGAACATGTGTAAAGAACTTTTGAGAACAATATTTCTACTTTAAAAATTTGGTTATGAAACCTAACTTACCTGTATTTAATCTTTTTTGAAGTTCTGATATCTGATTTTCTTTTTCCACAAGTTTTTCTTCCAGGTTTTTGATCTGTATTTCTAGTAAATCCTTCTCTTGTTGTAACTGGCATTTCTCTTGACGCAGTTTTCCATTTTGTTCAGTGAGTTTAAGTTCAATTTGAATCAGGTCATTTTTCTCTTTAACTAGCTCATCTTTTTCTTTTTGAATTTGCTCCTTCCAGTAGAGAAGTTGATTTTTCTCTTGATTGAGCCTGCTATTTTCATTTTTAAGTGGCCTGTTTCTCTGCCGGAGTTTAGTCATCTTGTCTTCCAGTTTGACTTTATTTTGAAGGAGTTCTCTTTTTTCTTCTTTCAATTGCTGCACATTGTTGTGCAGCTCGATGTGATCTTGATGTAGTTGTTTGTTCTTCTCAAGGAATTCTTTTTTCTCCTGAAGCAGTTGGTCTATCTGTCCAAGATGTTGGTCTTCCTTTTCAAGAAGTTGATCTCTCTCTGATAAAACCTCTCGGATTTCTTCCAGCAAGGTGACATTGCACACTGAGACATTAAAGCCTTTCGAAGTTCCAACTGAAAAAGCGAAGAGATAAATGTTTATCTAGTTTAACTGAACAAATGGACTGATAAATTGGAACCTTTCTTGTCTAGAACACAATGAAAAAAAATTAAAGAACAGCATCATCATAACAACAATAAATAAACAGTAGTGGGCTTGGTGGAGACTAAGGGGAAATACAGGCATTGGGTCCCTTAACATTTCCATAAATAAATTTCCCATGGTTTTTAATAAAGCATGTAAAACGTTTATAGAACTGCCACATGACCTAAAATTATCATGGCAATGTTTGACATTATAATGAGATAAGACTGAGAAAGTTTCTTTTTATAACTAGAAAAAGCTTCATAATAATTTTAGAACATGTGGCATTTCCACCCATTTTGCTTTAACTAAACAGCAGTACGTCTGTTCTTCTATCTGTTAGCATCTCTGTTATGACTTTGAACTTAAGGGCACATTATGTATTAATAAAAACATTGGCTTAATAGTGTACTGTGCACTCCAAAGACATTCAGATCTCTTCATGTATTTCAAATTCTGTCAAACAACCCAAATTTCAATACTTTACTATTGAGCTATTTGTACATTTTCAAAAGGATTTTAGTTTTGAATTTGGTTTATTTTAACATATTAATATGCTTCATTCTGAGATACTCAGTCTGTATGTTTTAGGCTTAACACTTAATTCATTTTTTAAAGCTAACAGTGCCTCAGGTTATCCTGAGCTATCTCCATAGTTGCTGCTACAGGCTTCGGCTGCTAGAGGACATAGGGACCACTTTTCATCATTCTGCTTCATTCTACCTGTATTTTCCAATCATTAGTTAGTTAATTCAATGCCTTAATTTATGATCTCCAAAATTTTTTTCATCACAGTATTTTCCCCTTGCTTGGGCCTGTTTGGCTGTGAGACCTTTCTAGAGGGGAAACATCTGCTGGGCTGTGGCCATCAACACCTCTGATTATAAATGGAGTTACTGTAGTCCTGTTTTTCTTCTATACATATTGGCTTAGCTTTTACTGTGACTAACTGAATGTACTCTCTTTCATCCTTTCTGTCATGAAAACTGGCTCAGAGCTGTCCGAGCGTTTATTTCCCAGACAGAGATGCCTACTGTTACTGTTACCTTCCATAAGATACAATCTATTTATGGATTAGTGCTTCTATCTGATTTTTGAGTATCTGATTCCTGCTCTCTAAACCCCCAGTCAGTCTTTATAGAGTAAATGCTCGGTGTGAGGGGCTGCTGCAGAGTTAACGACACAATGCAAGTGAATACTCTCACCCAGGAGCAAATCCTGCAAAGTCAAGGTCTCAATGCAATATGCTTCATTTGATTTAGATATAAAACCAACCTGACTGAATGATCTGATTAAACTGTCTCTGCAAAGGTCTTTGAAATACCAAATTGGTGCAATATAAATAAAGCATTTTAATGGAATTATCCTTGTGAAAAGTTCATCTTTGAAGTCATTTTAACTATTTACAAGCCTTTAACCTTCTGCCAGCACTGCCCCATATTTTGTACACAGTATATTTGTATCAGCTTCGACCAGCTTCTTCACTAACCTGACTTCGCCAGATGGATTTGCTCCGCATATCCATCTGGGAACCTTCCGTTGAAGTAATTTTGGGAAGGGGCGAAAATACTGGTTAGCTGATTGGTGATAGACGGGCCAAATAAACCAATTAGATCAACGAAGCATATGACGTAACAGAGCGACGATGAAAACACAACCACAAGCCAGGCTACTCTTGCCGAAACCAGTCGGGAGAAGAGCAAAAACAGCTTTTCCTCTGAGAAAAGCCTCCAGAGCAGTGTTTTGCTCTTCTTTCAGTGAAGAAATACTCTGTAATTCCCATAAAACCTGCTAGACAGCCACGCTAACGCTAGTTTCATCGGCTGAAGCCACCATGTTCTTTAGACTGAACTGTCGCACTTCTCGTTGCGTCACACCTCAACCCGCCTCAAAGCCAATGCTGATTGGACGTTCGTTTGGTGAACGGCTCCAAATTTTCTTTAATGGAGAGTCTCCAGACTGTTCTGCGAATGAAACCTTGAAAGCTTGCGAGATCAGGATGGTCTCACGAGGCTACTTCTTCACTGCTAAAGAAAGGAATCCCTTGGCATGAAGCTTCCACCACCGTGTTTTATAATAGGGTTGGTACATTGGGGGTAATATGCCAACACAAAGTGTTTTACATGTAGACTAAAAATAAAGGGCCCCCCACTCTCCTTTTACGTTTAATGACCTCTTTACCTTTCTTTGACTCTATGTAATACTCTTCCAAGTTACAGATATGTTGAATAATTATGCTATTTTATTGTAATTTTTTTTGTTATAGAGCCAACAGCAGTTTCTTAAGGGTTGGGTCTTTCTATTTTGGCATGTCAAAAGCTTTTATAGCACTAACACAAAGATACATGTAGAGGGCACCCTCACATTGATTTCTACACAGAGCAAACTTTGTTTTCAAAGTTGGGATGGAGAAAACAACCCTAGATTGTAATGGAAACCAGGCGTTGTTACCTAATGCTGCTGCTGTGAAAATGATTTGATATATGACACCAGGTTTCCAGAGTTCTGCTACTCACCAGATTGATACCAAAAGTAAGCATTGAGCAATGATTGTGTGACGCACAGCAGGAAAAAAAAGACTCCAATCAGCAGGTAGATTTTGGATTTTCCTGTAGGTAAAAAAGCCACAGATGCATTAATTATAATGAAAACTAAAGTTATATTTTGTAGCTCTGTGTCTACACATCGTCAGCTTTGCTTTGTTTGTAGTGCTGATAGATTAAGAAGCCATTGATAAGATATAAGAAGGTTTTTCACTCTAAGTAGTTTATGGGGTTTGATACCCACATATTTTTCTATATGATTTTATTTTGGCAGAGCATCTAAACCTGCCATCGATATGCTTATTAATATGCATGAAATAGTACATTTTGAGTGACTGATAATGCATTTGAAGAATTTAGTTAAAGCCTCTGTTTCTATGAAGCTCCCACAAGGTTTTGTTTCATCCTTTTATAACTGATGACTGGCTAGGATCCAGTTTGGGTTTCTTTTCTGCTTTGAGGAAAGCCCAGTTAGGATAACCCCATTGCTCTAGGATCCCTCTTATTTGGGATTCTTCTTATCTTTGGCTCTCTGGCTCTTTTGCTTGTTGGGAAATTGCTCTCAGTGTCCTGATAACTACAAGCTTCTACGAACAAGCAACCAAGGCCAAACTGTCTGGCAGCATATCGCGTATATTGAATGAGGTGTTGCATTTTATCACATATGAACAGTCTAAAAGAAATAAAGGAGATAAAACTTCCTCCTTAAGCACCTGTGTTTGAGAGAGGACTATTAGAGGAAGCATTGTTATTGCAGACTTTCTTAAAAACTCTCAGTTAAAACCAATGAGCTAAAATGATAATCACATTACTTAGAACCTGTAGAGCAGGGGGAACCAATTAAAAATTAGCGGGGTCCAAATAAAGAAAATCAACAACCGGTAAAGGTCTGCAGACATTTTCAATAATAATTTGTTACTTTAAACAGAATTTAAAATAGAAATAAAATGAGGTTTTTAATTCATCCATGTTATACATTGAATTTTCAAAAAAAAAATAAAAATGTTAATCCATCCTATATCTTTAGGAATTTTCAACAGCAATACTTGTTTAACACTTTAATAACATTTTAAATAATACAAAAATACAAAAATTACACTTTTGTTAAAGAAATACTGAATAAATTCTTACCTGAATCCATTGTCACCCTTTCCATCCTTCTGTCGGCTGGTGAATTCATATAATGGCTTGTTTCCATTTTTCTTACTCTGATGGTCTCGACTAGGTGCTTAGAAGAAGTTCTGCCTAAAATTGTAGCCTGCAGTTTGCATCTTTTTATACCAGCTGATTACAGCGTAGGCGTAAAAATCCTAAAAATATATTCTGGAAATAAAGTGTGGTTCGCTGTAACATTACAAACCAAACACCTTCGTATTTCTTAAGAAACATGGAGGAGTAGACTATTGTTTACAAGTTATACATTAATGTTTTCAGGTTAAACATGAAGAAATAACTTGGAAGATTATGCTGAATCTAGAGTAGTGCATAGACTCTCTCATTTGGAGTTGAAAGACTTACCCAAAACTTAACTGCAAAAGATGTTTGCCATACTTAAACTCTTTAATGTCTATGTAGAGACATACGTGACAACAGAAATGTTATTACACCTTAAACGCATCCTGTAGCCCACTGCATGCAAAGACTCTATGACTTCATGTCTATAACTGCTATTATAGGCTACTTCATTTCCTTTCAATTGTTGTAAAAAACTCTGAGTTATATCTGTTGTATCTCAAGACATCAGATCCACATTAAGTAAAATGTAAGAACAAAACAAAGAAAAAAAATCATACATAAAAAAGTTACCAGATGAGATAAAAAAATATGCATTGGTTCTAAAAAACATGTGACCTATGGAAGAGACTGTTGGATTGTAACTGGATGAACTCATTATCATGAGGTTTTATGCCCAAAAGATATTGCTGTATCTTTATTACTTCAACCCCTTCTTTTAGATCCATAACTTGCTAGCACTAAAGAAGTGGCGAGCTTGTTGGGTAATTTGGCATAAGACAAAAAAAAAGTTAAAAAAACTAAATCAGACCAGAATTTAGCAATTTTTCACACCTCATTTTGTTTGCTTGCGTTCATTACGTGAAGCCTTACAATTTTTCTAAATCTCCAAAAACTCTGATCATACATTATCTTTCAGGCTGCATCTATGGTGGTGCCGAGTACAGACAATAAAATCTATAGATTCCCTATACATGTTTCAAAAACATGGCTGCCGTTCATTGAGTTCTGGGATGGCGGGCCCTAAAAAGCACCAAATAATTTGTTTATAATGGCCAACTTAGATAGAAAGGTATTATTAAGCGTATAATTTAAAAGGTAAGAATTATTCCCTCTTTTGTTATTTTTTTTAAAACATAAAATGTGAGATCAAAATGTGAGTATTGTCCTATGAGGAGATTATGACATGGAAAATTTCAGTTTGTTCAACTTTTTACCTGTGTTTCTGCATCCACAGGTGACGTAGTTTAGATGTCCATATCTCATTTCTAAGTAACAGAAAGACATATCATGCAATTTGTTTTTTTTTCACATACATTTCATGGAAAAATAACCAAGTTGCTTAATAGCACGGTTGCAACTTAACTCGGAGTGTAGATATTTATGAAAGTTTAGTTATGAATATGAGATAAAAGTGGGGATTTTTTCCCTTGAAAAAACAATGGATAAAACCAATTGGTGGATTTTTTGTTTTGTTTATGATGCAATCAGCCATTGAAAGTTAATAAAATGTTAGAAATTATTTGTTGGTAAATACTCAGATATAAGTATAGATGTATGCAATATAAGCATATGATCTTGTTGTATTCTTATGTTACATACCAAAACCTACAGAAATTCTCTGTAATTCCCCAAAAAAATTATAATTAGGAACAACAAATGAAATGCAGTCACTAAGTTGAAGTGCTTTGAAAAAGCTTTCCATGTGTTAGAAATAGATATAGAAAATGTTATGTGTGAGCTCTGTTATATGTAAGAAACTATGTTAAATTCCTCGTTAACTGTTTTGGAAACTGTGTGGGCCAAAGTTGATCTGTGAATATCCATCCACCATTTTCTGTTACCTTATATGGATTTATTATTGATTCTGTGCAACTGCTAGACTGTGGAGACCAACATAACTGTCCAAGAGGGTGTAGCAGTGAGACAAATACATGAGAAAATCTAAGATCGTGCCCTCCGCTGTTTATCAGAGCATTGGTCAGGCAGGCCTAAAAAGGTGGATGAACCTCTGCAATTCATGCTTATATCAATGATTTTGTTAAACATGACTGGAATAAATTCTGTTTATACTAAAAGATGTTTTCATTACCTTCTTATTCACTTTCCAAGAAACATTCCCTCTTGGATCAAGAACCAGTTGAGCAAACACATGTCTGCACTATTAACAGCCATGATGTTTTTTCCTAACTCATGACATGATTCAATTTAATTAAATGTAGTTTATTTATAAAGTGCCAATTCTACGGAAGAGGATTAGGGCCACTGAAAAAAAAAGTAAACTGATTTTTAAACTTTATTTCAGTTTAACATGGGAAAAAAGTCAGAATTCTGAGATTAAAGTCAGAATTCTGAGAATAAAGTCAGAATTCTGAGAAAAAAGTCAGAATTCTTTTTTTCCCATACTATACTGAAATAAAATTTAAAAAAAATCAGTTAACTTTTTTTTTTTTCCCAGTGGCCCTAATCCTCTTCCGTACAATTCACCACACCTGTCATCTCAAAGCATTTGGGAGACAGCGATCCCTATAGAACAGGAATGTCAGAAGTCAATCCACGAGGGCGGGGGGTCCTGCACCTTTTAGGTGCGCCTCTGCTTTAGCACACCTGAATCAAGCAATTAGGTCATTTGCAGGACTCCAGAGAACTTGACTTAAACTGAGGAGGTTAATTAAGCTGTTTCATTCAGGTGCGCCATGGGGATATCTATAAGATGCAGAAGGCCGGGCCTCAAAGATTTGAGTTTGACATCACTGCTGTGGAGTCAACGACAATGGTTAATACCTGTTTTGTTTTTGTTTTTTAAATGTGACCAGCAGGGGGAGGTGTGCTCACATGAAGCTTCCAAAAAATGAACCCCTTGGCTGGAAGCATCTATGCTTCATGAAGCTCTAACCACTTAGCAGACAATTTTATGCGGATTTTCTTTTTCATTTCGTGTTTTTCAGTGCATTTCTCTTCATATAAGCCCAATGTAATCTTACAACTCGGAACACAATATCACTGACTTGAAAATTGTCTGAACACTTTTTAAAATAGACATTTTTATTTCCCTGCCACACAAAATATTTCTATGTCCTGGTTTTAGATTGTATTCTGTTTTACTATTGAAATGTTAAATGCCTTGTCATCAGGGTCTAAAGTTTACTTCTTTGCCCACCAGCCACTGTGGCCACAGAGGTTTTATACCAGGCCTAATTTTGTTAAGCGACTCTGAGAATGATTTAGACTGTTTTCGGCACGTGTACAGATTACATTTTAGTGTGTTTGCTGGTTATAAATGACTTAATCTCATTCATGACAAGAGCTACAGGACATAATAAAAACTGTATTCCGAACTGGTGAGACTAACATTGAGAATAGAAAATTACAGAAATACAAACAGCCAATCATCTCACTGACTGGTCCAATTTATTTAACACCCAGCTGTATATCTTAACTATATAACTGACTATTTTGTTACTGTTTGCATCCAAGTTATAATGTTTTTGATTTTTACATTACATCAATGTAAACTTTTAACTCTTTACATGTTATAAATGTATTTAATTTTCAATTCAAGTCTAATATTTTGATTGAATAACAATTAGTTAAATAACAATGTCGTAATTGACAGAATCCAAACCATATTTCCAGGGAAAAGACCATAATCTCAGAAGGGATGGGGACACATTTTCAGGGATTTATTAGTCTCACATTCAATTTTACCTTTCCTGTGAAAACCCTTTCATAATATCTGCCTGGTTTCTCCCTGCAATAGATATTCTCAGGAAGTTTTAATGTCTCCTTACCTGTAAAGACCTAACATCATGCTCCCTGCTGCTGGCCTCTGGTCCATCTCCACTCTGATTCTGCTCTCTATATTATGGAAATAAACATAAAAAAATGTGGAAAGCAAAATTTTGAAATATAATTAGGAAGAGAACCATTAAAAAGTCCTGTGTCATTTCCATTTAACTTAAATGTGATGCCATAGATATTTTTTAATTTCTTCCCTGGCTCTCCTCTCCCTGTTGTGACCAAAATATGTATTTTAAAAATGTGTAGAGCAATTGGAGCACACAGTCTGTTTAGAAATGAAAGAGCATTGGGTTTATGCCAAGAATAAAACTAACTAGCTAATGTCATAGAGGTAACAACCGTATAAATTATTACTAACTACTTAACATATTGCTAAATTGGCATGTTTGACCGTTTCATCATTTAACTAACTAGTCTAATTAGCAAAAAAAAAAAACACATTTTACTCGGTTTGTTTGGAGAAAACTACAAAGGTTTTGTTTTTTTGCTGGTGGTTTACTAAACAACCAGAAGCTCACGTTCAGCTCTTCTCAGCACAAAGTCTCGTGTCGAACTTCTACGTCTGCATGTGTGCTCATGGTGCTTTAAAAGGCAGCTCAGAAAAATAATGTCTTGCACACTAATAAAGGGTTAAACTGTTATAAAAGCTTTTGCACTTTTGAGCATACTTCGTTGGGATGTCCCAATACAGCTTTTTCATTTCTGATACATTAACGATAACGCAGCTTTTAGTATTGACTGATACTGATATTGACCAGATTCAATATCAACCTGAATCACAAATATTTGTATTAATATTAATAATTGAACTTTATGATCTCACAATGGAGAAATCATTCTCTGCATTTAACCCATACTGTTGGGGAGCAGGGGGCTGCCATTGTGGGGTTAAGGGTCTTTGCTCAGGAACCCAGAGTGGAGGCTGCGGGGATCAAACCAAGTATTTGCAACCTTCTCAGAGCACAAACGTACAGCTGTAACCACAAGGTCAACACACCCCACCTACTTATTTTTTTAATGAAGAATGTTAGAATAAACTCAGTTTGTTTATATAGCGTCAATTCACCACATCTCTACTCAAAACACTTTACAGAGACAATTCAACCAGATCATACAGTCAGATTGGTTCAAAGTTTTCTATCTAAGGAAAACCAGCTGACTGCATCGGTTAATGACTCCACAGCAATCCTTCATACCGAGCATGCTCGGAGCAACAGTGGAGAGGAAAACTTCCTTTAAACAGGAAGAGACCTCCAACATAACCAGGTTCAGTGTGAGCAGCCATCTGCTGAGGCTGACAAAAACAGCAATAGTCAACAATAGTAGGTATGAAAATAAATGAAACATTTATAATCAAACAATGAGTTACATAAACTTTAAATAGAGGCAGAGTGTTCCTATCAGCATCCCCATATCAAAGATTTTAGATGCAGGCCAGTTTTACTGTTGATATTGGACCAATGTCACTGTTAGATCAGTACATCACCAATATTTACTCTAGTAAGACCAAATTGCCAGAGGCATGATGTAGAACATGACACCAATGTAATGATGTAAGCAGATGGACCAAAACGATGTTTGAGTCTGCTGATGGTGCCTGGTGCAAAAATTATTTTCAGGCTCAAAAAATGACAAAGTAAACCCAATCAGGACCAACGCTGAGCATGTGTTGTGTTATTGGAAGACAATTATATTTTTTTTGTGTTTTTTAATCATCATAGTACGTGAGGGTACCTTTCTGAAATATAAAAAAGTTGGAAAATGCATACATATGAATGCTTAACAGATGTACACTACCGTTCAAAAGTTTGGGGTCACATTGAAATGTCCTTATTTTTTAAGGAAAAGCACTGTACTTTTAAATGAAGATAACTTTAAACTAGTCTGAACTTTAAAGAAATAAACTCTATACATTGCTAATGTGGTAAATGACTATTCTAGCTGCAAATGTCTG